CCGACTCTAGGTAGTACATTTGGATATGGGGTGCGGTAAAGTTGGCGTCTATTTCAATGTCGTATACTGTTTTTTCACTGCACCTGGGACGAATGCCAACAGTCCGCTGCGGCCCGCAACAGTGTTGAAATATTGTGGAGCAAACCAATCAGGCCTATGGGAATCATTGGGTGAGTAGTATCTTTGGACTTGGGTTTCAGTGGATTCTTACAGAAAACCAAGTATACCTTTGGAGAGAGAAGGATGCAAATCAGGAATTCTAGATCTACGTGGAGTGTGCAGTACGAATGGCGAATGCCTGCGCCACAAAAAGTCTCGCTCAGCGAAAGGTTGTGGTAAAGAAAGCCGTTTGTACGATCCAGTTCTTATTCCGAGGAGGAAAATGGTAGCACCCAAAAGATCGTTTGGGTGCTTGCATCACACTCAAAGGTTGGCGAGAATTGCCTGCAGCGAGAAACAAACTGGAATCAAATGTTTGGGAAAATAGACCGGAGGACTTAGGACATAATTTACGGGAACAATAGAGATAACACTGATCACTCCGGGAAATTCGAACGGTGAGGGGAATTGCAATCGCTGGAATTCTTAGCTCCAAATATTTCATTGTGTGATCTTCTATCCAAAGGTTTGCGAAAATCAGGAAAACCAGGTGTTTCAAGAGAAAAACCGCGAGACCAGACCAGCCAGAAGACCAGATATTTATGGTGACTGATGAGTGTGATTATAAATTTCGGGCACGTCGAGTGTTTTTATCTTCAGACACTTTCGTATGGTTCAAATTGGGTCGCTGAGACGCTTTGTCCGGATATGAGTTTTCGTCTGTTTATGTGAGAAGAAGTGACAACGGTCTGGGTTTCTTATAGGATCACGAGTGACTGAAAAGTACCTCGGAAGGTTGCGCGTTCCCGTGTGCATTTGGATTCTGCTTTTAGCGATTGAGATGTGGCTGGTCATCGCATTGCCAGTGGTTAAAATCAAGCTCAAGAGTATTTTGCCACGACACAGCGTTTACGGATTAAGTTTTGGTCACTTGTAAGAGGCCGGGTCAAAGATTGAAACAAAGTTTAGCTAGTTTTGAACGCATTGGGGGTGAGTATGGTTACGCGCATCTACAAAAAGACATCGGAGAGAGCTATACACGTAGATGGAGGTGATATTTTGGAGTCGACGATGCCCGATATGAGTTAGCACTCTGGTATGAATGTTATTTATTGAAAAAATATAGTTTGGTCGACATTTTATGGAGACTTGCGCATTTTGGGAATACGCACTGTGGCACAGTATCATCTGACGAGTACGCGCTCGCTTAGAATGCAGCCAAATGTCAGATGTGAGGGTTGAGCAAACCTTTTGGGAGAGCCATAGTTCAAAAACTATGCGGCAGTGGAACATGGGGTGTGACATACGGCGAAAAGAATAGTTTCCACGTGGGCTTTGCTTTTGAGTTGCATGCATAAGGGTGACGTGGTGGTCGAATATGCTTGCACTAGGCGCGCGTTGTGTTTACAGCCTATGCATAAACACAGAGTGTAGATCCAGAGAACCCTAGATGAGCTAGAGGGTGATGATTGCGAAGTTTTATCCGTTTCTGCTGCGTCATTTAAATAAGAAAGAAGTAGAAACAGGAGCAACACGGGTTACTTTGTTGGCATCAGATGTGGCTAATAACGTGAATTCAAGCGCATATTTTTACACCTAGCCGCTGCCTTAGAAATCCGATGGGTAGTGGGATAATTCATCAGATCAGAGTCACAATATACGATATTCTTTGATTTCTGACAGAGGATTGAAAAGAACGAAGGTTTGTGTCTGTAGGTCCGGAGCTCTGGGTGTATCCAGTTTGGGTCATGGCGAATTATTGGGCCTAAACCGGGACTGAGGAGGCGTGATGATGTTTGACGTCCGTGACGGCAAATTGGAAGATCAGCTTGCAGATTGCCGTGCCATACATATACGAAGGACCGGAGGATGAAAACTGGCCAGAGACGAGCAAATGAGTCTTAGAATACCTTGAGATCCAGTACAACCATGCTAAGTAACTCTTGAACTGCTTATACCACGGCATTTTTCAAAAATTCGGGAGGCTAATGCCGCTCAAACGGAACAACTCGTTTGCTACAACTACCGTTACTTCATTTATTTAGCCCACTTGAGATAGACTCAGGATCGATAAAAAACAAGTGGCACCTAAGTCAGCATTTATAGAAAAAACGTTTGCCGGTTCAGTCTACGAAGCAGGACCGGAGCGGTTTTTGGAAGCACTTGATGCAAATCTGAAAACTAAGCTGTGGCACAGTATCATCTGACGAGTACGCGCTCGCTTAGAATGCAGCCAAATGTCAGATGTGAGGGTTGAGCAAACCTTTTGGGAGAGCCATAGTTCAAAAACTATGCGGCAGTGGAACATGGGGTGTGACATACGGCGAAAAGAATAGTTTCCACGTGGGCTCTGCTTTTGAGTTGCATGCATAAGGGTGACGTGGTGGTCGAATATGCTTGCACTAGGCGCGCGTTGTGTTTACAGCCTATGCATAAACACAGAGTGTAGATCCAGAGAACCCTAGATGAGCTAGAGGGTGATGATTGCGAAGTTTTATCCGTTTCTGCTGCGTCATTTAAATAAGAAAGAAGTAGAAACAGGAGCAACACGGGTTACTTTGTTGGCATCAGATGTGGCTAATAACGTGAATTCAAGCGCATATTTTTACACCTAGCCGCTGCCTTAGAAATCCGATGGGTAGTGGGATAATTCATCAGATCAGAGTCACAATATACGATATTCTTTGATTTCTGACAGAGGATTGAAAAGAACGAAGGTTTGTGTCTGTAGGTCCGGAGCTCTGGGTGTATCCAGTTTGGGTCATGGCGAATTATTGGGCCTAAACCGGGACTGAGGAGGCGTGATGATGTTTGACGTCCGTGACGGCAAATTGGAAGATCAGCTTGCAGATTGCCGTGCCATACATATGCGAAGGACCGGAGGATGAAAACTGGCCAGAGAATAGCAAATGAGTCTTAGAATACCTTGAGATCCAGTACAACCATGCTAAGTAACTCTTGAACTGCTTATACCACGGCATTTTTCAAAAATTCGGGAGGCTAATGCCGCTCAAACGGAACAACTCGTTTGCTACAACTACCGTTACTTCATTTATTTAGCCCACTTGAGATAGACTCAGGATCGATAAAAAACAAGTGGCACCTAAGTCAGCATTTATAGAAAAAACGTTTGCCGGTTCAGTCTACGAAGCAGGACCGGAGCGGTTTTTGGAAGCACTTGATGCGGCACCTAAGCAGCATTTATAGAAAAAACGTTTGCCGGTTCAGTCTACGAAGCAGGACCGGAGCGGTTTTTGGAAGCACTTGATGCAAATCTGAAAACTAAGCACGAATTAAGGCACTAAATGTAACTTACTGACTGAAACTAGGGGAAATTAACAAGAACTCGCACGAGGGAACGGCGTGGCAGATATATGACGCATTGTGAACAGGCTCATCCTATTCCTCTCCAGCGCCGGTCGGAAAATGTCGCTCGGGTAGCTGTCTGCTGCGCACTCATCCCTGTGTGCTACCAGACACACCTTACCATCAAGATGTGCTCTCCATCAAGCTCTCGCCCTCACCCTCGGATCGCATTCCAAAGTTAACGAGTACCGTAAACAATCATTCCGCTCTTCTTGATTGGCTACGAACCCCTGTCATTTCGCGAACCAATCACGTATAAGATTGCCGCTTGGGCCACCGCGGAGCTCACTGACGCCTCGGTCTCAGATGGATTTCAATGAGAACTTCGATGACAGCGACAGGCTTACCGTCATGCCACTGTGAGTTTTGCTTAGTTTATTATTACCCCCGACGTCCTTTCATGTACGAACCCACATACTGTGACATTTACCTCAGTTCCGTGGAGTTAGCCTGTCCTGGATGTACAGTGCATTCATTGGTATATGTGCACACGAATGGGCGCATAACCAGGATAGAGGATGGTGAACCGAATTTTCTGCACCTAGGAATACCAGGAATGGATAGAGAGAATGAGATAATGGGGGTATGCGTTGGAGGCGATGGCCCAGTCAATGCACTTGCAACAACATGTTCTGTTTGTTCGGCATTTCAGGAAGTGAAGCGGAGGCGATAGCTTTGATGTAAGATGGCTGCCAGCTACACAACATAAGCATCTCCTTCAGGGTCACCAAACATGACTGATTTGACCATTGAGGGCTTCCATTCTTCGTCACCGACCCATATAGTGACCGCCTCTGGGTCCTCTTTACATGATACATGACTGGGCGGAGAGAGCTCGATATAGCTAGGTATTTAAGGTGCCAAAGTATTCACCGCAAGGTCAGTGGTTCGAACCCATCACTTGCATCTCAACTAGCCAGTCTAGACTTGGGCAACCCGGCAGTATCTAAGCCCTCGAACCTGCTGCAGGTGGCATGGCAGCTGGGCAGGGTCGTATGAGGCGAACGGTCCTCTCTCTCCCTCTCATCATCATCATCATCATCAAAGACAGCGACATCGCTGTTGGCACTGATGCTTTACTGCTGTACAACCACAAGGTTCGTCTATATACAGTATACATATATAATTTTTAAAAGCCCTACAGTGAAGAGAAGAGAAAAAGAGTGGGTGAGGGAAAGGACCTAGTGCTGGCCTTTGTCAAGCATACTGAAGTGCCTACACCTCCAACCGCTCAACCAGACAATCTGGAAATAAACTGACAGCAAGAACGCCACTGACATCAATTAGCCGCCATATCTTGCAACGTCTCCAGCCGAACACAGATGGGATCACGGGGACCCCATCCTGGAAGGCGCACAACACCAACAACACCCAAACTTTTCGTGACCTCTTTGACGCCTTTCTACCAAGTCCTCTCTAGTCTGCTAACTGCATGGCCTAACACCGTAACTTGTGGGATGTGATCAGCTGACTTATCGAGGGGAAAATACATTTCCTGAAAACTACTTGGTGTACCTCGGCACCGCTGATCTGATGTTCTCATCAGGTCCACACTGCTTCCGCGGCACTAATGGTCAAAAATTTCCCCAAGATCTGGACTCAGCGGCCAAATGTCTAAATCATGAATTAGGGCAGATTGAAGCGCAGCAGTGTAACTCGTAAACCTGATAGCCAGAATGGTGTCACCTCGGAATAAAAGTGTCCGGATTTTGCAAACACTGCCCCGGTTTTCCTGATCAGGGAAGTAATTTCGTCTGTCACAAGTCAGCGGGGATCTGCGCCTCTCTCCGAGCAGACAAACTTGTTTTCACCTGGAAGCAGAGGACTTAGATTTGATTGCACCCTTTTGAAGTGTAAAGCGCATGCCTAGCGGGGATGAGATGGCCCAAGTGGGTAGAGCGCGAATTTACTGACCGGAAGGTCCGTGGTTCAAACCCGACCTCCGCCATTCGACCCCCTATCTAGGCTTGGGCAACCAGGCAGTACCCCAGCCCTCGTGCGAACTTCTGGTGGCATGGCAGCTAGGCACCGAAAGTTGGCTACAGCTGAACGCATGTCTGGCCGTTTGGCAGAATTATTTAGGTTAGCCCTCGTGGAACTTCTGGTGGCATGGCAGCTAGGCACCGAAAGTTGGCTACAGCTGAACGCATGTCTGGCCGTTTGGCAGAATTATTTAGGTTGTTTCGAATAGTTCGCTCTTCCAAGGCGTAATCCTAGGAGAGAGACATCGTCATGTTTGCTAGTGGTATTATATAAATTCCTAGTGTGTTTGAGACAGCACGTTCATTACGGAGTTAACGGGGAGGGGCCACAGATGGCATCTTTGTTGAGCACCAGTGACACCGTAGACATTTAGGGTAGCCCATAGAGACGTCACAAAGAGACCGAATCTCATCATGGTGCAGTTTTTTGCCCACTTTAATAACCCGTTGACCCGTACCGGGGGATGCTCATTCAACATACACATAGTCTCTCTAGCAAGCTGGTCAGTAGATTACTGCCCGACAAAGTCTTCAGGCTGGGGTTGGAACAGATTTTCCTTGAAATTGGAGCTATTTGCTTGGCTTCTTACCGACTGCCGCCGCCTTGTGATCAAGCCTTTTCTCTTCAAATATATGGATTACAGAGGAAGGGTGGAACCATGATAAGAGGACCCTTATAAATACCGATAAATGCCACACGTAGCTACACATAAATAAGAAAGACTGAGATGGGCGTTAAATCGGCCTTCGACTAGTTTGAGTTTATATGGGTTAGGGAAGATAGAAGACAGATAGAAGGTTGTCGACGGATTTTCAGCAACTTTATGATATATACATGTATCGCGATATCTCGAATATCGTAGCGACTGAAACATGAGGTGGCCTGGTGCAGCACATTTAGTTGCCTGGAAACATCACAAACGAAAGATTCGGCTGGGTTCTAGGTGAGTCTCTCGAAAAACCAAATTAGTTTGCAAATGAGTGTATATTCGCTAATTTCATGCAATTTGGCTTCAAGTAGAACATAAGGCTGACGGAAACCTGGGGACTGCGCCTACCTGATGAGCCCCAAAATGGGCGAAACCAGTCGTGGGCTGTCTCAGCAACCTTATGAGTAGTACATCACAGATATAAGGAAGATAGAGTTGCGAAGATGGAATGTTAGAAAACGATTTACAACGCTTAGTGGTAACTTAGTGGGGTTAATCGGATAACCATAGACGTGTCATTCAGTTGACGCTTACGGGGAAAGTACAGCAGAAGCAAGCTTCTATCAACATTTTCCGTGGTAGTAAAGTACCATAAAGCAATAGGCGTTACCTCCTGGCAGTGACAAGGGTCATCGATGAGGCCTGCAATTTTGTTTTAAATGGAACCAGGAAAGAATCAGAGGGGACTTCATCTCAACCATGATGGCAGTACTGAGTAAATTTGGGATTTAAAATGGGGAACTTTGTCAGAGGCAAATTATTTGCCTATCAGAGAAGGGTAGCCGACTTTCCTTGATGCTTGCGTCGCGATGACCTTAATTTGTAAGGAAAAGAAAACTCAACAAAAGGTAGGCCGAGAAGGTTGATTGACTAGGAATGCGGGATGGTTGCAGACTCCATCAAGTGGTTTAAGTCAGAAGTGGAGTTGTGAACAGAGATGGATAAATGAAAGGAATTTGAAAGCTTAAACGTTGCTCAGTTCGCAAGCCTCAGTCAACTATGCTGGTAATGTCGGTGTTCAGGATAGAAATTGCTAGTGTCCTTTCGTTTCACAGTTGGAGTGAACCGGAGCTTATGATTAAGAGAAAATCAAAATGTCCTCATCTGCAAGGGCATGAATGGAAGAGGTAAATGTAGACATCCACGTGAAGGAGGATCAGTGTAGTTGAGAGCACAGGTCCTTGAGGATCTCCAGCACTGATTTTCTGACTGTGGTAAATGGCGCCACTCATTCTTTCATAGAGTGATTATGCAGGAAACCTCCAATCCAGGTAATCGAGTCTGGGAATCCTAGCAGCAGGGTCAGTATGCCAATTCCGACCAAGTCCTTCCGATATATTGAGACAGCCATATTCCATTCATCAAGTATTCGGACAGGATGACTGAACGCGCTACATTTAGGCCAACGTACCACCCGTAGAGTAGTGGTACTTCTCTGGATTGAAGAAGAGTGGAAATGAATTCGCTTATACCGTGTAGCAGGTCAGTTGTAAATTTCTGCTCCTTCGAAAACAATAGTCAAGGGTAATTGTCGGATTTGACGCATACCATACCAGTCACCTTAAGAGAATTTCCAGAATATATGATAGGGAGGGAGTGGGTCTTGAGGGATAAGGCAAGTGAGAGAAATTGACCGTAATAACCGGTGAAGGTGCCCGTTTTCAAGAAAGAGGCTTAGAAAGGTCATTTTGACTCCGGTCATAACAAGACTGTTCGTCTCGCTCGTCTTTCGTCGTCTTGTGATTGCCCGTTTGGCATTAACTGAGAAGCGGTAAGCAGAATTCCGGACTGGTACCAACTTCACTGACCAAATCTTCACACTCGTTCAGGTGCTAGGACAATGTCAACCTCAGATACATCACGAAGGTATGAAAGTGGCTACGGGAAGTCTGGGTACTATAGGTGCGACTCACATTCCAGAATGGGATGCGCGTGACGTATTCGGTGCGTGGTTGATAAGTTAAAGCTCGAGATAGCTCTGTTTTTAAGGTGTGGGATTGCTGACCGGGAGGTTCGTTGTTTGAGCCCAGCTTGTCTAGGCTTGGGAATCCTGGCTGTATCTCACCCTTCACGCTTCCTTCTTGTGGCATGACAGCTCTGGACGCTTGTCATTATTTTTTATGGTTGGATATGGTCCAAGATATGGATTTTTATCATTGTTGATGGCCTTGTTGTGTTGTTGGTGTCTGGACGTATGGGAACCTCGGAATGATTGTGGTTGGTTAGTGCTGAGTCCCCTCGCCACCCCCTTTTATAATTTTCTTCACATGGTTCCCAAAAAACTGCACCTGCATGGTAGCGAAGCATAGGTGTTTGAACGATCATGATGTGCTGTCGTTTACGGTGCTGATGCGCTAGCAAGAGCAATCTGTTTTTCCGCTTGCTTTTGAGTGCGAATGCCAAAAGCAGCCAGGTAGATCGGACGTCCGCGCTGGTTGGACAGCAGATGTGACCGAAACCGATAGAAGACGAATCGGCTCATCAGCCTTAACTGATTGGCCAACTACGAGATTATTGTTAGTGGCACGGAGGAAGTGGGAAGTATTTGTAGGACAGGGGGTACAGGCGTCAACAGCAGCCCGACGTCGGTTACCTGCCCTGGTCTACCCGGTAAATAAGACTGTATGGTTGATGACACTACATGGCGGCCGATATGGTGTGAGGTTATTATTGTTGGGGACGTGGACGCCCAAACCTAAACAGGAGGACGATTAGGGTCCCCGTCAACACGTTCAGCTTAAAAGCACGATCGCAAGACAGCGGTATCTGGCAAGGATTGCCAGTGGAGTGCATTAAAAAAGAGTCGCCATCCCTGTAGGATCAGAAGACTGTGTTAGTCAGGTCTCTATCCATTGACTATTCGGGTATCTCACGAACCCCCTGTCGTATAGTTCTGTAGTTGGCGGAGGCAGGTAGACCAACACATCATGGTACAGTCCAGTCTGATCGGTGGTTTTTAAGAAAGGCTCTTCGGTGGTAACTGACAGCTAGATAATCCCACTGAGTCCATGACTGACCCGCGGCTGGTGGCCTCCAAGTTACTCGGTACTAATACTTGGGCTGAAAGTTCATACTGACCACGAGCAAACAATGTTCAGCACACACCATCGAAGAAGTCGTCCTCCATTATCTGTGCAGTGAGCATCAGCTTTGAGTCTACCATCTAACTGTGCTCCCGTGCTTGTTCGTCCAGCCTGCTTTTTCATATCACACCAGGATGGCATGTGTCCTTCTTGGTGACCGGAGCTATCCAGCTTTCACAGTTTCAAAACTGCACTCCGTCGGGATTGTGCTAAACTGACGAAAGCACTGTTTAACACATTGATATGTGTTGGTCTTGGTGCCGCTTGACAACCACACAGCGCAAAGACGACTATTTATTTGAATCCAGTTTCAGAAAGCGTCTGCATCCGCCGGAGGAAGTGTAGCCCCCTCGGAATCGTTGCAATATCTTCAGAAAACTGAAAGTAAGTTTTGGACTATCTTATCTCGTCCTAAAAGATTTGAGGTGGGTGATCAACGTGACATGTTTCGGAGACACAAAATACGTCGACAGTAAGAAGCAAGGCTTTAGCCAGACACCTGTTGTCCAGTTTGAATGAGCGTACGGATTTTAAAACCTGGAATGAGGATCAGATTTTTGAATTTAGTAAAGGATTGTTCTTTGTTTGTCTTATTGGTGAAAGTTCATGCGTGGAACAATGGTTAGGGGACTGGCAGATGGATTGACCGCAACGGGCCCAGTGAAAGGTAGGGTGGGGTTGTGAATGGGCGCCGGTGAACGAAGAGCTGCAGTAGTATATGGTGATTATCTTATCATACTGTCGATGATGATGATGATCTTTTGTTCAGATCAACCACAGAGGGTTTATTTGCGGCACTCTACTTTGAGCCTTTGGTTTAAAAGTTTGATTCACGTATCGTGGGGGATTGTAGGGTTGTGCTCCGGTATTCTGACCAAGCTTCTAACTTCGAACGAAGCAGCACGTGGTAATGTTTTCTTGGGGACTCTCTTCGGAATCAGTGACTCAGTAGTGTGACCCACATAGCTGCGGAATACTGGCTTGGTCCGAGAATGCACGAAGTAACGATAAAGTAGCAATGAAGAAAAGATAAATAAGAGTCGTTCAGCTGCCATGCCCCCCCCCCGAAGTAAGCACGAGCGCTGGGATACTGCTAGGTTGCCCAAGCCCAGACAGAAGAGGTCGGGATGCAGCTGCCGGGTTCTAACCACGAACCTTCCGTTCAGTAAGTTCGCGCTATAACTGCTGAGCAGTCTCGCTCCGAAGCTACCGTGGCTCAGCAGTACCGAGATGACTCAACTGCCGTGCTAGCGGCGTTCACTGCTGTTTATCTGATTTCTCCGATATGATCAATCGGCCACTGAATATCCTAGGTATTGCCAATCTTGACTGATGCCAAGAGATCCGTATCAGCAGGCAACTAGTATGAGGGCGTACAAAAATCCCTCAACTGCCAAATAACGAGAGGCCTAAGGAAAGACTGATAGTTTTGATGGATATTAAAGGCACAGGAGATGGAGAAGGCTTTTGCCGCCAGCGAAAAGCAGGTTATAGCCGAATTAGGTACGGAAACTTACCCCCATTACCCAATGGGACATTAGGTAGGTAAAGGCCGTCTCCTACCTGAGTCAGTGGTTAGAGCGCGAACTTACTGACTGGAAGGTCCGTGGTTCGAACCCGAACTCTGCCTCTCGACTTCCCTGTCTAGGCTTGAGCAACCTGGCAGTATCCCAGCTCTAGTGCTTCCTCCGGGTGGCATGGCAGTTATGCACCGAAAGGGTGTTACAGCTAATGGCTACTTAATCAGTGGCAGGTCCGTTCGCTTAAGCCAATGTACATCTTTCCAAGTCAATAACCCATCGCAAGCAACCAAGACTTGGTCTCATTGATACTGATAGGACTTCTCATCTCTCTGCTCAACTTGGTGTTTATTTTGCAAACATTTCATGTTTCTCGGATGAATATCGATGCAGTTTTGTCGAATATTTGTACCTTGTTTTTCTCGCTGTTTAGGCAGTATCTATCAACATCATCTTAATTAGCTAGTTTAAAATCGGGTTTTCCTACTTCTCATTGGTTAGGTTTTGAGTTGCCGTACGATTTCCTCACGTTTATTGCCCCATATGTAGCGTTGCCTTGTCACTGTACGATACTAACTCTTCTGGTGTTAATGAACCATTTTCAGTGGCGCCGGTCAGGAAGTTGGAAGATCATGCATTCTCCTTACGTTCAAAGGGAAGAAAATACTCGTGAGTCACATACTTTTGTATGATGAAGTCTGTAGCTAGACTGTGGCATTCACCCTGGTCTGCGGAACAAGGAAAGCTTACCGTTCATTGACGCTATCCCAGACCTCCACACGGCGGATCTCATTTTGATTAGCCAGTAAGTGTCGCAAGCATGTAACCTATGGACTATGCTTTCAGCTTCCACCTTGATCATTGTGGAGGACTGCCCTATTTGTTGCTGAAAACTGGGGTCCGCGCAAAGTGTTATATGACACACGCCACCAAGGCTATTTACCGTTACCTTCTGGCTGACTTTGTCCGGGTCAGGTACTCAGTTCATGCTCTAATATATTCCACTTCTCGGTTAGTAATTCTTCAGGCGTTCCTGATCAGTCGTTGTACACAGATCGTGACATAATTGCCAGTCTGGATCGTATCGACACACTAGATTTTCATCAAGAACTGGAGGTGAATGGCATCAAATTTACAGCATTCCATGCAGGGCACGTACTGGGTGCCGCAATGTTCCTCATCGAAATAGCTGGTGTCAAGGTACGCTAACGGTTCGCCAACGGTTTCATTTAGTTTTTCAAGGTGCTCTACACTGGCGACTTCAGTAGGCAAGAGGATCGGCATCTTATGTGTGCCGAAATACCGCATGTTCGACCAGACGTCTTGATCACTGAAGCCACCTATGGGATACACATTCATGATAAGCGTGAAGATCGCGAAGCCCGATTCACACGTTTAGTACATGATATTGTTGGGCGAGGTGGACGTTGCCTAATCCCAGCATTCGCTCTTGGTCGTGCCCAGGAACTTATGCTTATTTTGGATGAGTACTGGGCCAACCATCCGGAACTCCATGACATCCCCATCTACTATGCGAGCCAACTGGCTCGAAAATGCATGGCAGTTTATCAGACATACATCCACGCGATGAATGAAAAAATTCGAAATCAGCTGGCGAACAATAATCCTTTCTGCTTTCGCCATATTTCTAACCTCAAGGCAAGTTCATAAGAATTTTTTCGTGTGTGACTTCAGAGCTTTTTCGTTTTTGCCCTTTTTCAGATAGAAAATACTATTAGACACACTTTTGTATGTAATTTTATCTTGCCGCTAATAATACGGTAGTCTTCTATAAGCCAACTACACTTATAGGCTTACCTCAAGGTGTCAGTTTCAGTTTGTTTTTATTGTTCTGTGCCACGTCCATAGAAGCCTACCCTCATATACCGTCTAATTCTGGGGGTGTTTGTACAAGATTGCTGTTCCAGACCCAAATGTATAGCATTGCACTAGATTGCAGCCGGCGAATTTTCAATAGCTGGGTGTACACGGAATGACGAAATTTTTTGTGCGAATGTCTAAACCTATCATCAAGTTTTAAAGGAGATCGATAAGCTGTGAACAGTGCGCTCGATTGTTACAGGATGCTCTCCCAACCACTTTGACTGGATGATACCAGAAACCGCTTAATCAACAAGTAAAACGATCATATCGTTTGCAACTGAGGCTTATCTCTATAACATGCAACACACATATTGAGCAGTGCTGTCTGTGGGTTGCTGCTCAGCTTTATGATCAAACTGATGTGTGTTATGTTCTCTACTAATCAGTCAATCAACCTTGTCAGTTACACACGAAATTGAGAAGACAAAAAGCCTTGAGGAAATTATACTGCAGCAACTGAACAGCCAATATTGAAATTCGAAGAATCAAGAATGGACTGGAACAAAACAGTCCAATGAAAGGCTGAAATAGAGAGAGAGAAATGTTGAGCAATATGTCCGTTATGAGTGCCTCCTAACACCTCCCCTTTGAAGTCATTGTTCGTACGACTGGAGTTGTGGGTTCAGTTGCATTCGTATGACAGGCTTTCTGATCCGATCGGTCCATCTTCTGGGTGTACAACTTTTGGAAATTTCTGGTTCATTTATCGGCTCTGGAGATTGTGGCTTTTGAGCTAACTCAAATGTGTCGAGAAGAGTCTCCAGTGGAAGAACAGGGTCAAGTGTAGCTGCCGCTGGAAAATAGGAAGCGCGTAGCTGATTGGCATGACGGACCCAGATAGAGGAGCCTACATTTACCTCATAGACAACTCTTCCGGCCCGGCGCACAATTATGCCTTGTGTCCACTTTTCCGCGCCACCACGATAGTCTTTCGCTAGCACAGATTGGCCGGGTATAAATATGTTCTTTGCAGCACCGTGATGTCGGTTGAACTGAACTTCCATATTTATGTTTCTACCGGTTGGCGAATGTGGTGTTGGACGGATGACGTCAACGGGTAAGCGGACCTTCCGGTTCATAAGTACCTCCGCCGGGGACTTACCATGTGGAGCGTTAACATTTGGTGTCGCCCTGTAACTCAGCAGAAATGTCTCGATGATTTCCGGTGTGGTCCCCTCCCCTTTGAGTTTTTGGAGTGCGCGTTTGAAAGTGTCCACAAATCTTTCCACTTGGCCATTTGATTGTGGATGAAATGGTGGTGATCGCACGTGTTGTATGGCAGAAATGTTTTCTGGGTCTAGATGACGACCATTTTCGTCAAAGATAAATCCAAGATATTTGATAGAAGTGAGAAAAAATGCGCACTTCTCTGCACGTAGACGAAAACCATATTGTTGAATCCGTTCGAGTACGCAATGTAAACGATGCAGAAGTTCTTCTTGACTAGAACCTGTAAGAATGATGTCATCCAAATAAGCAGCAACTCCTGATAGACCGTTTAGCATGGCATCCATTGTTTGTTGAAATATTGCTGGTGCAGATTTTACCCCAAATGGCAAACGGTTAAATTGAAACAAACCGCGATGTGTGTTAATTGTCAGAAGTTCTTTGGAGTCATCAGAGACTTCTATCTGAAGGTAAGCATCAGCAAGATCCAGTTTTGCGAAACATCTTCCACCATTGAGCTTGGTGAACAAATCTTCTGGTACCGGCAATGGATATTGGTGAGAGTCTAACACGGCGTTTAATCCAGTGGAATAATCAGCACATATGCGCACCTTGCCATTTGCTTTTTTGATGACAACAATGGGAGCTGCCCATGATGAGTGGTTTACTGGCTGGATAACTCCGGATTGCTGGAGACGAACAAGTTCATTCTCCACAGTTGCGAGAGCAGCAAATGGCACGGGACGCTTCGGTCTGAAAATTGGTGTGGAAGCAGGTTGGAGTTTGAGGCTTGCCTTGGTTTTGGTACAGCATCCAAGGCCACTTTGGAAGACATCGTTGAATTTTGTCTTCAGTGTGTTAGTAAAGTGTTCTGCAATGTCTGAGGAGGATGAACATTTCAGAGTACTGCACACAGATGATAAAGGTACACTGAAAAGGTCAAGTTTCTCGATCCAATCGAGTCCGAGTATGTTTAATTTCGGACAATCGGTGAGATAGCATGTTCCTGAGAAGTGCACATTGTTGAATAACACATCACAAGACAACTTGCCTGTTAGTTTTAAAGTGCTACCAGAGGCGCTTTTGGCCCGATGGTGCGTGGAGGATAAAACAGGTTTCCCAATTGATTCCCAAACTGAACGTGATATTAATGTAATATCCGAAGCTGTGTCAAGCTGCAAACGGATCGGGAAATTGTTGATGGAAACTGTTATGTATTTCCTGCGGGATTCAAATTCAACTTGAAACGTAGCAAACAGAGAATTGGATTGTATTCGTTGCTTGTACGTCCGCCTTTTGATTGAGTCTTTCATCGGACTGTTATCGTTCTTTGGGTTTAATGGTGATTTGGCATTGTGGGTACGGCAAAAGCCTTCTTTATGGCCCCAACGATGGCATGCTTGGCACTGATGTTTCTTGAATGGACAAAAACGTGCATAATGCCATTCACCACATGACCAACATGATGTTGGTGGCTTTTTTCCAGGAGTGACAGCGGTTCGCTTCAATGTCATGACGCTGCTGGAAATAGGCGATCGCGACTTTTGCTGTACCATTGCGGTATCATGTTTGAGATTGCGCAAGCGCTGGCATTCTGTGGTGAGGTCTTTCACAGTAATGTCTTTTTCGTGCTCAAGTTTGGATAGCAATCGCGTGCGAATATCTGATTCCTGAGAAGATTGAAGTCCAGCGACAAAAATGAGGCATTTGAACTGATCTTCTGTAAGCGATTGCAATTGGAATTTCTCACATTCGCGATTAACGATACCGGCAAAAGTAACGTAATCGTCGGCCTCACGCTTGGCCAACTTGAGACAGTTGTATCGGACATTAAAAAGTGAATGTTGGTCACCAAAAATTTCGCGAAGTTGGTCCACCGTCTGCGCAAAAGTCAAATCTTTTGGGTGTTGTGGAAGGATAAAGTTGGTGAACCGGTCGTGTTCGAGGGTTCCAAGTTTCCGTACCAAGAGACGGGATTTCCACGCATCATCTTTGCCGGTGAACTCATTCAAGAATGTATCCTCCCAACGGCTGTACCACGAATCAAAGGTGAGACCAGATGCTGGCTCATAGTGAAATTCAGTTATAGTTGCAGCAATGGAATCCGCAAAGGATAGTGAACTACCACTTTGAGATGAAACTGAAGTTTGGAGATTGATGACTTGAGTGAGAGACTAGATAAGCCGCAATTGCGATTGTTCAAATTGCGCTTGTTGTTGTTGAAGGATTGATTTCAAATCCTCAGCTGAAATTGACATTCTTGGGTTCGTGAAGGGTTCCCGTCGCCAGTGTTATGTTCTCTACTAATCAGTCAATCAACCTTGTCAGTTACACACGAAATTGAGAAGACAAAAAGCCTTGAGGAAATTATACTGCAGCAACTGAACAGCCAATATTGGAATTCGAAGAATCAAGAATGGACTGGAACAAAACAGTCCAATGAAAGGCTGAAATAGAGAGAGAGAAATGTTGAGCAATATGTTCGTTATGAGTGCCTCCTAACAATGTGTAAACAAGGTCTATACGTGAAAGACGATGTTGTCTGATGTGCGTTTGTGCGTGAACGTGGATATGCGCTTCTGAACCGAGGTCACTTCAACTGTTGGCCTATAAAGACTGGAATGAGCAACCGCATCGTTCCCGAGGTCAACAGAAATTGCAGATTTTCGTCCATCCCAACACGGTGATGTGCCGAAATATTGGTATACCGGATGAGTTCATCCGTTGTTGATTCGGTGGCTGTTGTTCTGTTCGCCGAGCTTGGCAATTGACTTGCTAACATCTCGTCACTGTACGAGGAGACATCATTAATGCGCAGTTGAATGGCCCACCCAGTCGAACATCTGACCATTACAGTCAGATTTGGTTAAATACCTGAGCAGAAATTAGCAACTGGTGAAGTATCATGCGTTGCCTTCCATTCGAATTGAGAAGACTGATTTCTTTGTAATTAGATGAAAGTAGAATATAAGGTTGATGGAAACTCTGGGATTGCGCTTACCTGATGAGCCCCAAGAAGAGCGAAACCGGTCATGGGCTGTCGAAGAGTTTTCAGAAACCTTGTGAGTGGTTTCCTTTGTAAACGTCATAAAGTTGGGTGAAGCTATCTTGACACAGTTAAACTTTAGGTCTATTGATGCGTGCTTGATTCTCATAACTCCGTCACAGGGCGCACGATGTGTAATCTATTGAGTGCCGAAGAATAACGGGCGCGCGAAATTGTTTCATAGCCTGCCAAAATCTCTGTTATTCGACTAGTTTGTACAGTTTATCACAAGCAAATGCAACGTGCATCTGTAAGAAGCTATGGCGAATTAAGTGGAACTCAATAACCTTGCCGACTGTTTTTCAGGCGCTTGTGACGCGGTAAGCATACTTCACACAGAGGAAGCTCATAACGTTAGTTGCTTTTTAGACGTGAATTTGGCTGGATATGACCAACCTCCGACACCTATGGCGCCGAATGACGTCAGTTTGTCTGTCAAGGGAAGAGTTTATACTGCGGTAGTGCGATCCATACTGCTTTGGGGATCAGAAACGTGCCATCTATGCGCAGTGTTTGCCATAGGTGTTCCCAAAGCATTAGCCAGGTCTGGTAGGAACGTCGGATTAGTAGTACTGAGGTTCTCCAGATGGTCTTCGGATAAACGAATTCTCCCGCGATAGCTTAGTTTCTCACGCTTCATAGTCTGCGCTGATTGGGACCGTCTGCCTCACGGAGCTCTTTTTTCGAGCCTGCGCTGAGTGAAAGCGAATGATAGGTGGACAATGTATAATCTGGCAATGAAGTACGAAACCACTAACCAATAAATTTAGTCGGGTGGGCAACTGTCGCTCCCTTTCAGTGTGTAGCTACCCCAATCCCGAACAAACTGAACATGCCTTCGCCCCCGAGGTTTGGTTGTACGTCGCACACTCCCGTTTTCCGGCGATCGAAACTGTAGCAGCTGGAACCAATGTGCCTATGGTACACGCTTTATAGCTGATAGATTGAATTGGATTGGTTTGGATATGGCCTCCGAAATTTATATCATGATTTTGATAAATATTTATATTTCCAAATCGAGAACCTTTGTGGTTGCAAACGCATCGTTACATCCTCACCTCCCAGAACGGCTGTTATCACAGCGCTTAGACTCGTAGCATACGCTTGTACTATATGACTTCCATGAATTCTCTGCTTTCAGTGATTACTCCATAAACCTCTCTGCGAAATGTCCCAATATGGTAGCAGTAATCCAGTAGACAGCGCGAATTTTCTGTTTTTTCTCTCATGTGTACGAGGTGTACACCAGATTTCTTTCCAGTAAAGATCAATGACCACTCTAGTTTCACCTCTGTGCCAGCTTTGATGAAAGATAGGAAAGATTCTGTCTGTTGTATATTTTGCACACGAACTCCAAGTTAAACGTGCTATCGTGTAGTTATGAATGGTCTGAAAACGTATCTCACGAGAAACACGTGTTTAAAGGGTGCGATACCAACTAACGATAGCGAGACGCACCTGTACAAGCATGTCTCCAACGTCTTTATTCCTATAATCATAATGACTTGTCCTAAAAATATCATAGAGGGCTATCTGTTACTAGCGGGGGTGGAATGGCCCAAGTGGGTGGAGCGCGAATTTACTGACCGGAAGGTCCGTGGTTCGAACCCGACCTCCGCCTTTCGACTTCCCCTATCTAGGCTTGGGCCACCTGGCAGTATCCCAGCCCTCGTGCAAACTTCTGGTGGCATGGCAGCTAGGCACCGGAAGGGTGTTATAGCTGAACGATTATTATTATTATATGTTACCCGCGAATGTGTTTCTCGAAAGCCTTGTGAGTTTTTCCGAACAGTGTTTGGGTAACTAATGTAACACGGCATCTTTGGTATTACTCGTAAAGTTTTGTCTGGTTGTCGGGCCCAGGGTTTGTGCGGGTAACGTCGTGACAAAATTGTCCTGACATCGTTGGTGTAACTCACCGAGGTCCAGTGTCACAAAAGCTTTGTGTGAAGTCTACGGTTGTTTGCAGAGTGCCAGCCGACAAAAGTTACTATCAAATATGGCTGCATTTCATATTGCACTGTGTTATTCGGAGATAAATATCAAGATCAAGTTGTGGATGTATGAACACAAAGTTCTTTTGGTAAACAGAGGAGGCTTCTACGCATGCGTTCGATGATTTCGGTTTCAAAATCGGCTTCGGCCAAAGGTCGCTACTCGTTGAATTTGGATGGATTGTTTCTCAGGAGATTTGCACCCTATTACTACAGTACCCACCTAGTTGGGACCATGCCATACTTTTACGAATCCTTCTTTAGACCCCAGGAAATCAGATCAAAAAAGGGTCTAACTGTTGAGGGTAGAGCTGATCTGGCATATTGGCCAGGGAAATGAAGCGAATATGTCTTTCCCTCTACTGTAATTTAACCGGAAGTGAAACAACAACGGCGAACTTGTCTCGCTTAGCTAATATTCACAGATTGGTTGATGAGACTCTCAAGGGTAGCACTCTTCAGCTTTACCTGCTGTTTCATCAAACCGAGATGGCCCAAGTGGTTAGAACGCGAATTTACCGACCGGAATGTCCCTGGTTCGAATCCTATCTCCGCCTCTCGACTTCCCCTGTCTAAACTGGGGCAACCTGGCAGCATCCCAGCCCTCGTGTTTCATTCGGGTTGCATGGCAGTTTGGCACCGAAAAGGTGCTACAGCTGAACGGTCTTTTTTTCATCAAGCCTTCGTAGACTGAACGCAGTCGCTTAATATTTGGGGTAGGATAATTGCTCCCGTATTCTGCTAATCTCAACCTACTGGAGTCATTCTGCGATAAAAACTTTTAGTTAGTTTCCCCTGGAGGTTTTAAGCTTGCTGGAAGTTGCTTATTCAGAATTCACTAGGCAGCAAACAAGTAAAGGTTTATTTTAGAAACGCAGCCTGACTGATTTTTAGCGTATTCTCCAGCATGCAATACTCACCAACGGTAGATGAATTAGGCGTTCCAGATGATGAGGCTTTTAGTTCAGACTGTTCGGCTCTACCGAGTATGCTGACAGCTTCTGTTCACTGCGACTCGCCGCACTTGAATGCTGGTGAACAGTAAGCTGGCGTTTGAACCCTGTGTTCACATTATCCGAATCGTACCTGATCTACCCATCGCGGGTGGAACTGCCGTGCCAATTATTGCGTGATCAAATTGGAACTAATTCCCACTTTTTTCCTTTCGTGCCAAACTCTAGAGTATTGAACACTTTGATGACTCGGGTCCTTGTGTAGTTATGGCAAGCCCGGGTATGATGCAATCTGGAATGAGTCGCGAGTTGTTCGAGAATTGGTGCACTGATAGGCGTAACGGGGTAATTATCGCTGGCTACTGTGTTGAGGGGACGTTAGCCAAACAAATTCTTTCCCTGCCCGCCGAAATTCCCACAATGTCTGGACAGACTCTACCGTTGAAATGTTCTGTGGACTACATCAGTTTCTCAGCGCACACCGACTACCAACAGACAAGTGCATTTATTCGTGAGCTGAAACCTAACTACGTGGTGAGTACTGGTTTCTTTTGACATGCCAACCTGTTTTTGAAATCTGCTTCATTCCAACTTAGATGAGACTCTCAATCGGTTGTAGTGACCACCCTTTTCAGTAAACCTGATTCAGGGCTTACGTTCAGTTCCTGCAAGGGTCGATCTACGCATCTCGACGAACAGGGAATTCGCGACACTGGTCCCCCATTAGGGACCACTCGTGGAAACTGTCCCGACTCTGGGGCCTGACCAACCCCCTTGTTCCATGTTATATCCGAACGAAACTTAAATCACATTCATTTTTAAGGAAGTCTTCTCATGTTTTATGCCATCCGTCACTTGTTTCATCTCGTTTGAAATGTACTAGCCGTAAAATGGAAAGGTACTCGTTAATTTAGATAGATATTCCATGACATTTCCCGTGGTCCTAAAATCACAAATTCATTTTAAGGAAGTCTTCTCATGTTTTATGCCATCCGTCACTTGTTTCATCTCGTTTGAAATGTACTAGCCGTAAAATGGAAAGGTACTCGTTAATTTAGATAGATATTCCATGACATTTCCCGTGGTCCTAAAATCAGCCGGAGGTCATTGTCTCAAGTTTTTTAAGCTATATGATTGTTCACCCTGAGGTTCATTATCTCGTAAAGATTATTTATTACAGAGTGCTAAACTCAACTTGTCCCGTAAACCAATGTGAACATGTAGTTGAGCACACAGGGGAACCTAACTTCCACCTCGCAGCCACGTATGTTGATGGAATACACATTCAGTGTTCGAAACTGCATGGAGCCAGGTTACATTTTGGTGCTTCCCGAGGCTGGATTACTCGGATAATCTGTTTGTGTTTGTGTCAGTGTGTAAAATACTGAATATCTTGAGGAGAATTTTCAGATGGCTCAGTGGTTAGAGCGCAAATTTACTGACCAGAAGGTCCGTGATTCGAACCCGACCTCTGCCTCTCGACTTCCCCTGTCTAGGCTTGGGCAACCTGGCAGTATCCCAGCCTTCGTACTTCCTTTGGGTGGCATGGCAGTTAGGCACCGAAAACCAGAAGCTGCTGAACGATCCATTTGCATGCAGTGTTACCGTAGCCACTTGCCAGCAGTAGGAATTCTCCTACTGGAAAGACAATTAGTAAACAAACTACATTGTTTTTTCTCGAGCTTTCGGTTGTGCAGTGGGGACTTTCATTGAAGAATGTGTCCAGCACCAGAAGCTGCATTGGTTAGGCCATGTATTGCTTATGCCGAACAATTATTTACCGAAGAGAGTGCTGTTTTTCGTGCCCGATTCAGAGTGATGGAAGCAGCGAAGTGAATAACCCTTGACCTGACAAAGGGATATGAAACAGATTACGAAACGTTTGGGTCGGTTCTACTCGCCTTCCAGGTTGTGGATCGTTTGATCTTCGTTGCGTATGGTTTGAGACTACAAGATATGACTGCCAGTCGATATAAATGGAGTCTTTGTTGTCAGTTTCTATCCACATTGCCTGAAAAAGTGTCTAGAAATGTAGGCAGTTCGGAATGATTGTGTTAGGCTAGCACAAAGTCTACCTTCCAGTCTACTTTTATTTTCAAATAAATCGTGACTATGCGGCAGCAAAGCGTCATTGATGAAACCTTATGTCATGCTCTCGATGAGGATGTTGGCGATGTGGTAGATGTTCGGAACCTGACCCCACTTGTTTCGTTTCCCTATATATTTCCTCCGATTTTGTGCTTCTCCCGGAATCACATTCGTTGGCGACGGTGGATGTAGCGGTTAGGTTGAGTGTGTTGAGGTCAAAGCCGCGAAAATACAACCTTACTCCTTCACCACAGGGCTACGTCACAGCCGAGAATGGCGCAGACGTTGATCTTATTGAAGCGGTTGATTTCCTGTCTGACTACTGACGTAGCTCTCTGTCTTCATCGCAGTTTCTTGTTCTCTCAGCAGAAGTTTGTCTTGCGAATGCAGTTCTTTTGTGGCTAGTATATTTCTGAAAACGGGGGTGCCTCTGTTCAAGCGAATTGTATCGTTGGAGGTTGGGTGCCTGGTGTCTTCGCCAATTGACTGCACCATTCGCGTTTGTTTTACTCACTTTGTTCCTGATATTTTCCCATTTATCGCAACTCTTCAGTTGAAGGAGTTTGATTTTTTGACCTAACAGGTTTTGTGTTGCAGCCGAAGATAGCATCTTACCCCGGAGTTCCTGATACCGTACACTTGAATTCAGCGATGAATACGTAGCTTAGGTTTCCATTTCTTTCGGTATTTCGTTTGTACCGCCTTCAGATTCTTGTTTTCCTGACCTGTCCGACGGCAGCCGATTTCCTACGTTCCGTTTGAGTTGACCTCATACCATTTTTAATCCAATACATTGTATACTGTGCTTCTGAAAGGCAACCATTGCGTGAGACTAAAATAAGACAAATAGGAAGTGAGGATGTTAATATCAAACGTCTTTACTGATTGGGCTTCACTCGATTTTCCCTGAAAGTATTTAGAAGCTCTCCATGAGATAGCACATAACCGCCGACAATACCCAACTTATTGTCAATTGGTGAACGAACTCCTGTACGAGCATACCAGTCCTTCCAAAACGCCAGAAAACCGTTTCCTTGGTTCTTTTGAGTTACAGGACAGTATCGATATGTGACGTCGGTTGTACTTGTTATCGTATCAGTGTGTGCTATGGTGTAGGATGTTTTGGCTTCATTTTTTTAATATAACGGCTGATCGGTTCTGTACACGTCCTTACTTTTCCCATATGTCCGCCTAGATTCTCGTACATGGAGAGCAAAACGAAATGCTTCGCCTGGCAGGTGCTCTGCAACGTGAATACGAAGACGATGACACGTGTTGTTTGGAGTTGTTTACCCCCAAGAACTGCGTACCCGTTAATCTACGTTTCCGTGGTGAGAAGGTTGCCAAGGTCTTGGGCAGCTTGGCCCGGAACCCACCTAAAAATAATCAGTCCATTTCTGGAGTTTTGGTGAAGAAAAATTTTGCCTACCACATTCTCACACCGGAAGAACTTCCAAGTACGTCTGGATTTTAGGTCAATATGGGGTTGGTATTGACCTGACCCTTAACCATTCCTTATTTGTGGATCTAAGCAGTGGGAACTCAAAGCTGAGTTTTCCTACTTGAGTAGTTTTGTTCGATTTAATTAGTCCATTTGACTCAAAATGAAGGTGGTCTTTTGTACTAACAGTGGCGGAGAATGGGATGAATCAGTTGAGGCAGAATGAATTCACATCAGGTTTTCCATTCTGTGCTTCTTGGCTGTGTTTTGACGCTACACCACCGGAGAGAGCTTAATTCACTTTTTCTTGAATTGTGCAAAAGCGTAGAAGGTAATTAACTAAAGATAACTCGATGGTTTAAGCGCGAACTTACTGACCGGAGGGTTCGTGGTTCGAACCCGACCTCTGCCTCTCGACTTCCCTGTCTAGGCTTGGGCAACCTGACAGTATCTCAGCTTTCACGTCTCCTTCAGGTGACATACCTGCTAGGTACCAAAAGGGTGCTACAACTGGACGATTATCATTATTACTGTAAGCTTCACAGAGCAGACTGGTTATTATTTTTTTTACCTTGAAGCTACGTTTCAGACAATCGGCATCCAGTTATGTGACCAAGAATAACACTCACTTTCATTAGGAAATGAAATTATGATGGCGAAGCCCGAAAAATTCAGTCGACTTCTGTTCAGACAACCCGCGTTCAAACCCTCAAGGGGATTCTTCCGCGTTGTCTGCCATCCCCTGTGTTGTCAACATGTTCCGACATTGAATACGCGACCCCCTGAACCAGAACCCAATGCTTCGTTGGAGAACTATCGCGTTACAAACGGAGTGGTTCCTACTGACCGGAATTCGACTCATCAGGATGTTGCTCGTAAAGCACGCTGAAGGATGGGCAGACTAAAACACCGCATAATATTGTGTGGAAGTAACATTTAAAGCGTTCCAATGGCCTGGCGTGTCTGTGTTTCATCTGCGCAGATCCTTCGATGGACATTAGAGTCCAGATACTTAGGTGTCACGTGCTGTTCGCATTTCATAGTGCCAGTTTTCGGTTTGGGGAAAAGACCTACAGGCAACTCCGCGCAGCTCAAAGGTTCGTCTAACCTCTCACTCGAAATCTGCAGCTGCAGCTGTATTTTCTACAGATGTTTTCAACCCCATTGGACCTGCACTGTGTAACTATACGGATCCCGATCGCCGGTGCTCCTCGCTTTCTCTTCAGAACTATTAGTTGGTCGGCGTTTGGTAATCTTGGCGCCGATGAAGAATGCTCTGCATTGAGTTGTGACCAGACTGTGTTGTACGACGAGTAGATAGTCTATCACGCAGATCCGTCAAAAACCAAGCTGGCTTCCGTCCTGCAAGAGGTTGCGTTGATCATATCTTCACCCACCGGCAAATTCTGGAACACCGACTGCTTCCAGCAGCCAACAATGGTTGTGTGTTTTTATCTGAAAACTGCCTTTGACTCTGTGGACCGCCAAGCACTATGGCAGTGTCTGTGCAGCAAAGGTATCCCCCCCTAAATTCTTGACCCTTATTAAGGCGCTGTACGCCAACTCCCGCGGTCGTGAAAGGTCTACGGGAAGCTCTCTCCTGAGTTCACCACATCCAGTGGTGTCCGACAGGGTTGTCCTCTTTCACCTTTCCTCTTCAACTTTGTCATTGATGCGATCATGGAGGACTCACTACCAACCTCTAATGCCTGTGGGGTCGAAGTGCTCCCTGGGCCTCCGCTCACGGATATCGAGTACGCAGACGACATAGCTCTTCTGGGATCTGATTCCGTAGTAATGCAAACAATATTAAATAATCTAAACAATTCCGCCTCGCAGTTCGGCATGCGCTTCACACCTGCAAAGTGTAAAGTGCTACTGCAAGACTGGATGGGCTCGAACCCTAGCTACATGCTTGCGGATGATCCGATTGAGGTAGTAGACAAATTCGTTTACCTGGGTAGCTGTATCAGTCCCGGTGGTCTGGCGAAAGACGATATTTCCATCCGGACTGGGAAGGTCAGAGCAGATTGTGTGAACCTGCGTCTCCCGTGGCGTAGGCGTGACATCAGCTTCTCTGTCAAGGGTCGAGTTTACAATGCTGCGGTGTCCCGAACATAACCCGATGCGAAAAGCCATCAGACGT